AACTTTATCGTGTTGATAATATGTTAGAAAAAATCCACAATACACAAACTAGATTTATTGAAGAAAGTGAGACAACAGTTTTCGGAATCGTCCTCGATTCCATCTTCGGGTCTGACCCGAAGATGGAATCGAGGACGATTCCGAAACTGTTGTCTCACTTTCTTCAGTAAATCTAGTCTGTGCATTGTGGTTTTCTACCATATGTATATATAATATATATATATATATATATATATACATATATATATATATATATATATATATATATATATATATATATATATATAGATATGTGTGTGTGTGTGTGTGTGTGTGTATGTGTGTGTGTGTGTGTGTGTGTGTGTGTGTGTGTGTGTGTGTGTGTGTGTGTGTGTGTGTGTGTGTGTGTGTGTGTGTGTGTGTGTGTGTGTGTTGTGTGTGTGTGTGTGTGTGTGTGTGTGTGTGTGTGTGTATTTCGTATTAAACTTTATTCCTGGAACACTAAAGCACATGCATGTAAGCTCACACACACACACACACACAGTTAATATACACCGGGGCTTGTGCCTGAAGAGCTATCACACAACTCTACGGAATATTGCATCCGCATTTCACTATCATAATAGTATCCTTGCAACGATATGCTTAATGTCTCTGGGTTCTGGAGTATTTTTTGTGGCTCTCAAAGCGCTCTCCGGACACTAAGTTCCTTCAAAACAGATGGCGATGAGGAAATTGTGAACGGCATTAAGCGTAACGTAATTCATGGAAGAGAACGCAATTTCAACATTCTATTTGTAAGGATACCATCTCATAGTGGTACACGCAAGCACGACCACGTGGACAAATTGGCGTAAGAGGATTGTAGCAGAGATAATGTAAATATAGATCTTGGAATGCCTCTTGCTAGGGTTGCACGCATACTGAAAATTTCTCATAAGGATGAACAGATAGATCTGACGAGCTCACAAAGGCTTGGAAGCTGTAGTATAAGGCACTACGATCAGTATAGAGATTATAAGCCCTCCTATGGGTGGCACCGAAGTAAGACCAGACAATGTGACGTGGTTATCTTCAGACTACGTTTAGGTTACAGATTGTATTGTCAATTGCACGGTGCAAGAAGTGCAGATGAATCGAGATGTAGACTGTGCAGCGAGGAAAATAAGCGAACACTCCAGCATTATATCTCGGAGTGTCATGTGATACAGCCTTTCACATCGCCTAACATGTGGTATATAAAGAACTATGTGATTATCTTATTGCATCTGATATATTGGAAGATATACTCATGCCGTATCCTGATTTTACTATGCAAAATTATCGTAATCATAGAACACACAAAAGGCAAAGGTATATCAACTAGGGTAATATTCTTTCGCCTATTGTATATTTTGATTAATAACAGAATACTGTACTCCATCGGGTATATGTAATCACGATTGCCCATGCCTGAGCAGATAGCCAGGGTGTTTAATATACTTAACTTAGATAAGAGTATTCTAAATTTAGAATGTACATCACTACATAATAAATGTAACAATGCCTTTCCACCCCAGCTCTATGCGACTTGGTAGACGAGTAGAATAAAGGACTGTTTAATTGTACTTTTCTTTTAAATGGTATAGTACAGATCATAATAATGTTATAGCCTATATTTCCAATGTAGTACTATTATATAATGCTATGACCATGCATCTAATATACCACAACTTGCCCACGCCTGTACAGTTAGCCAGAGTAATATATCACAACTTGCCCACGCCTGTACAGTTAGCCAGAGTAATATATAAAAGTGCTAAACTAAAATAAAATAATATCTATCACTGTCACGTTTCAAGAGATACAGATATAATTTCCATCATCATTTGCAGCCATAATTCATATTTGATCTTTCGATACAAGCACTTAGGGCGTATGAATGATATTAGGTCAGGAAACGCATGTATTCAAATAGTTTTATCAACCTGAGAATTTTAAAGGTATCCTGTGTCACATGCTGAATATGATGTTCTTTTTAACATAACAGTATTTACTCTTCACGTTATTAATTAAACAGGGATAAAATTATGCCAACGATTAATTATCATAGTATTTATACGTCACGTTATTAATTAAACTGGGATGAAATTATGCCAATGATTAATTATCATAGTATTTATACGTCACGTTATTAATTAAACTGGGATGAAATTATGCCAATGATTAATTATCTCTAATGTTCAAAGGCTGTTGAACGAGAGGGAAATGAAGATCAACAATCAATTTATACTATTTGAATTTAGTTTATAATTGTTTCCATGACTTCTTCGTTTAAACATTCGCTCGCTTCATGTTGCTTCTCTCTCTCTCTCTCTCTCTCTCTCTCTCTTTCTCTAATTCACCATTGCTTTCTTTTATTATTTTTTTTCTTCCTCCAATCTTCTATCTTTAATTTTCACTCTATTCTTTTCTTCCGTATTCCACCTCCTCTTTCATCTCTATTACACTAGCCTATTTTTTTCTTCTTTTCTCTATCTTCTTTCTTTAATTTTCAGCCACTGCTTTCCTTCATCTCCATCTTTCATTATTTTTTTCATTCCTCTTATTCCTCGTTCTCGAATTTCCTTTCCCTGTATCTATTTCTTTCTCCAGTCTCTCTAATTACATTCCAGTTTTTTTTTTATTCTTTTCACTTTTTCTCTCTTAGTCCTTCTATTCTCTTTAATCTCCTCCTTTCTGCTTTCGCTCCCAATAAAGGAATATTCATTTTTTCTTTTCCTCATTTCTTATCATTCTTTTCAATATTTCTCTTCGTCTTCTTCTTTTTCTTTTTTTCCAAGGTCTTTGATTTCATTTTTTGTTTGTTTTGTTTCTACTTTTTCTTTCTCTTTTTATTGGAAATCTTAACTCCTCTTCCTTTCTCCAGTTGCTTTAGTGCCCATGATTCTCTTTCTTTTTTTCGTTTTTTTTTATTAAAAAAATATACTTCTCTCTTTTTTGTTTCGTTCATTGCTCCTGTTTAATTTTCTCTATTCTTTCTTTAATTTCTTTTATTCTGATTTCCCCTTCTCCCTTCCGTATCCACGTTCTTTAATATTTGTTCTTTTCGTTCTTTTCTATTTTTTTTTTTTTTCTTTTCGGCCTTCTTTCTTTCTTTTTCCAATTTCTTTCAATTTCCTCTTTGTTTCAATAAAATCCTATGTTTTCATCTATTTTTTTCTTTCTCTCTCCAGTTTCTTTAATTTTCATTTATTTTCTCTCCCCATTTATTATTATTTTTTTTACTTTCTCGAGTTTTCTTTCGCCTTGTTCTATTATTCTCCATTTTTATTTCCTTATTTCTCAAGCCATTATTCATTTATTTACCATCCTGTATGTCTTTTCTTTCACAATTTTCTTCCACCTTTCACAATTTCTTCGTTAATATCCATCTCCTTCTTCTCATCATCATCGTCATATTATCATTTATATCATATCATTATCATTATTATTATTATTATTATTATTATTAACATTATCTTTATTATCAAAATCTTCATCATCTTTATCCTCCTATCCTCCTCCTCCCAGTTACAACCGAACAGACATGAACAACGACATTATTGTCATCATCACCATCATCGTCATCATCATTACTGTCATCACCATCAATCATTACTATCATCATCATCATCCATCACCATCCTCATCATTACTATTAATTATCATCATTAATCATCATTCATAACTCATCACCACGACCACCATCATCATCGCCATCATTATCAATCATCACCTCATCATCATCATCATCATCATTCATCATCAATACTATCATTATTATTACTATTACTAGTCTTATTACTATCTTTCTTACCAATTTGAACAACGACATTATTGTCATCATCACACACCATCGTCATCATCCATTACTATCATCACCATCCTCATCATTACTAATCATCCTCATCATTACTATCATCATCACCATCATCATCATCATCATGATCATTATTGATATTACACACAACCACCCACCACCACCACCATCATCGTCATCACTGTCATCATCATCATCATTCATTACTATCATGATTATTCCTATCCTATTCTTATTACTACCATTCTTACCAATTTTTTCTATCGGCTGAAACTCCCTCCATTTTCCTTTCTCCCAATCTTTATCAATATTTCCCCCCTTTCCCTAGGTACGACCGAACCACCATGAACAACGACATTGTTATTATTATCATCATCATTATCCTCTTCCTCATCATCATTACTATTATTATTATTATTACTATTACTACTATTACTATTCTTTTTTTTCTCTCACCCTGAAACTTTCCCCATTTTTCTGTCATATTCATCCCTCTCTCTCTTCCATCCTTTATCAATTTTTCCTCCATTTCCCTAGCTACGACCGAACTAACATGAGCAACATTATTATCATCATCATCATTCCTATTATCATTATCATCATCATCATCATTACTATCATTATTATTCCTATTCCTATTCTTATTACTATCATTCTTACCAATTTTTCTATCGGCTTGAAACTTCCTCCATTTTCCTTTCTCCCATTTTATCAATATTTCCCCCTTTTCCCCAGCTACGACCGAACCACAATGAACAACGACATTATCATTAAATTATCATCATCATTATCCTCTTCATTATTTATCATCATCATCACACTATTATTATATTGTTATTATTATCATTATTGTTATATACTATTACTACTATTACTATTACTTTTTTTTCTCTCACCCTGAAACTTTCCCCATTTTTCTGTCATATTCCTCCTCTCTCTCTCCATCCTTTATCAATTTCCCCTCCATCTCCCCAGCTACGACCGAACTAACATGAACAACATTATTGTTATCAATCATCATTATCATTACTACTACTATCATCATCATCATCATTACTATCATTATTATTCCTATTCCTATTCTTATTACTATCATTCTTACCAATTTTTTATCTCACCTTGAAACTTCCTCCATTTTCCTTTCTCCCTTCCATTATCAATATTTCCCCCATTTCCCCAGCTACGACCGAACCACCATGAACAACGACATCTCCCTCTTGAAGCTCGCCAAAACCTTGACCTTCTCGGAGGCGGTCAGGCCAGTCTGCTTGACCCCAAATGACCTGGTTTTCTTCAACGAGAAGGCCACCGTCATAGGCTGGGGCAAGAAACACGAGAAGGACAACTTTGGGACTTCTGTCTTGAACAAAGCCGATGTCAGAGGTCAGTTGCCAAGCGATGGGAGTTCCAGGAGTGGAGGGTTAGGTCAAAGGTTAAGGGTCAAAGGTCATTAGAACCGGGGGGGGGGTCTCATTTTTTTCGTGGATTCGTGTATCAAGTTTATTGTTATTGTTATTGTTATCATTATCATCATCATCATCATAATTACTATTATTATTATCATTATCATTATTATTATCATTATCATTATTATTATTGTTATTATTATTTTATTAGTTATTTAATTATTGTTTCATATTTTATTCTTTCAATTCATTTTTCATAAGTTATTCGTTATCATTATTGCTATTATGGTTATTATGATTATTATCATTTTCATAAGTTATTACCTCAGATATAATGATCATCATTGTCTCATCATCATTATGCTTCATTATAGCATCATTTCAGGTATATGTCTTATCACAATTATAGTCATTACAGCGTTATTTCGTATCTTTGTGAAAGTAATTGATATAAACAATAAATCTCTATTCATGTATTCAGTGCTGCCATTCGAGCGATTTTCCCGCTAGGTTTAGGATCTAGCGAGAAAAATCTGATTTAGTTTATATTTAGCGATTTTTTAAGGTCCTTTTTAAGCGGGAAAATGTGGAGCTTTCACTCTTATATTTAGCAGGTTTTAAAAAGTCGAATCGAGCGGTTTTGCGGAAATATCAGTGTCAACACTGCATCTATCTTGAAATAGATATACAGGGAAAAATGATTTAGTTTATATTTAACGATCTTTTAAAGTCCTTTTTTAAGCGGGAAAATGAGGAGCTTTCACTCTTATATCTAGCTGGTTTTGGAAAGTCCAATCGAGCGTTTTTTGCGGAAATATCAATGGCAACACCGCCTTTATCAACTCTTTTTAAAAGCGAGCATTAACTCCCCCCCCCCCGCGCCTTCCTTTCCAGTGATCCCTATGATGAGTTGCCGGAACGACTACAAATTTTATCCTGAAATGATTACTTCTAGAATGTTCTGTGCCGCGGGGAAGATCACTGACGGTTGCCAGGTAGGAATTTTTTGCTTTCTGTTTTGGATGGATGGGTGAATGGATGGATGCATGGATGTATATGCATGTGTTTATGTCTATAATATTATTCCTGTTATGGTAGAAGATAAACTAATTGTTACCTCCTCCATTGGTATTTAAAGTCATTGCATTTTCTCTGATCGCGATACTGAGTGTGTATGTGTGTGTGTGTGTGTGTGTGTGTGTATGTTTGTATGTGTATGTATATTTGTGTGTATGTATATATATATATATATATATATATTTATATATTATATATATGTGTATATCTACACACACACACACACACACACACACACACACACACACACACACACACACACACACATATATATATATATATATATATAATATATATATATATATATATATATCACACAAACACACACACACACAACACACACACACACACACACACACACACACACACACACACACACACACACACAACACACACACACACACACACACACACACACACACACACACACACACACACACACACACACACACATATATATATATATATATATATATATATATATATATATATATATATATATATATATATATATATATATATATATATATATATATATATATATATATATATATATATATATATATAAGTGTATGTATATACATGTATATATACATTTATGGATACACAATTAAGTATATATCAAGACAGACAGATAATAAGTAGGCAGAGGGTATTTGGATAAGAACACACAATAATCAACAGAATGACAATCAAACAAACAGACATAAACAGACACAATCAGGGAATTGCCACTCTCTCTTACTCTTTCGTATTCAGTTATTCACTTTAAACTATATCTATTCTATTCTATTTATTTATATATTTATTCATTTATCTGTTTATTTATTGATCTGTTTATTTATTATCCTTTTATCTTTTATTCATTTATCTATCTATTTATTTGTTGATTTATTTATCATTGTTTATCTTCTTATTCATTTACCTATTTTTTTTTTATTGATTTAACCTTTTGTTTATTCACCTATTAATTCATTTATCTATTTATTTATTTATTCATTTATCTATTTATTTATTTATCTATCTATTTATTTATTCATTTATCTACTTATTTATTCATCTATTTATCAATTTATCTATTTATTTATTCATCTACATATTTATCTATTTATTCATTTATCTATTTAATCATTTATCTATCAATTTATCGATTTATTTATGTATCTATTATCGACTCATTTATCTATTTATCAGTTTATTTATTTATCTGTTCAGTAATTCATCTATTTAATTATTCATCTTTTTGTATCTATTTCTTTGTTTATTTATTAATCTATTTATACCAGTGTGGTCTAGTTCTTTATTTATAAAACACTTCACTGCTTCTCTGACCTTTGCTTCTCAAATAATAGACCAAATGTAAGCAAAGATAAATTTTCATGATCTTGGAAAAGAACACACACACACACACACACACACACACACACACACACACACACACACACACACACACACACACACACACACACACACACACACACACACACACACACACACGACTGGCCACTTACGAAAATTAAAAGACGCATGTTGAAATGAATCTATTCTGCTTGACATTTTTCTAAAAACGTATTGTTCTTTTGGAGGAAAAACAAACTATAGAAAGAAAGAGAAAAGGAAGTTAAAGGAAAGGAAATAAATTGTGCCGAAAGATATAGATATGACATAGATATGATAGATGGAAAAAAATCGAGAATGAATGTGTGTAATTATTATCTTTAAGTGTAGTTAAACGTAAACAGAAGAAATGATGGTAAATACAGCGAAAGAAATTACTGAAGCTTTTGAAACTCCTGCAAATAGATCTGATATATAATATAATATAATGTAGTATATTTATGCTATACATTGATACATAAATATAAGTACAAATGTAATAGATATAGATCCTGTATGTTATTATATAATATGACATGATATATCATAATGTAAGTAGATATATCACAATATAAGTTTATATAATGAGATCGAGGTTGAATTAAAAGTAGAGAAATAAGCAAATACGAAAGAAAACGAGGGGAATCAGCTTTACTCGAGGGGAGACTGCAGAAAAATTCAGAAAGAAAGGGGACGAGTTTAGAGAAAAGGTTAAAATACATCGAGGTAAAGAACATATGCCAACAGAATAGTACAAGTTACCAAGGAAATTGAAAACCATATGACAAATAATCAGTGAAATGTTGGCGATATGATAAAACGATGATAAAAGTGAATAAATTTAGACAAGATATGAAACTTTAGACTAAAACTTTCGGACTCAAACACTATAATTGTTGGAGAAAATTGAGTCAATTGTTAGCGAAGGATGAGTAACAATACGAAAAAAAGGAATATCAGTAAGATAATGGAGATTAAAAAGACTTTTATGTGGATTTAAAGGTTAATGAAACAAGAACAAATTATAATAATAGAGATATATTAATTAACAAGCCTGTCCACAAGAGAGTTACACAGTGTGAATTCACGAAAAACGCATCCCGGTTTGTGGA